AGTCCCTGCTTGTTCTGCATTGTTCAATAGGTTAAAAAAAAAAAGGGTCAAACTTATATTAATAAGTGGAAAGCAAATGAAAAACAGGGGGCTGCATGTTGACGACTTTTTCATAAGAAATGTGTCTGTCAGTGTGCCATGGTAACAACCTGCTGTTCCAACATCCATCGCTGACCCAGAACAGAAAACCAACACACACATAAAGTGACCCAGCGTTGGGGCCGGTGACCCCTTTAGTGGAGCCCCATCAGCACCCCAGTTTCCCAATGCGAAACATTAAAGGCAACTGGACTGCATCAAACCCAAAGGGCTCCATTCTGAGGCTGCCCGCCTGGCCTTGTTTTCTGGACAGAGCAGAGGGGCAAAGCCCATATGTCGGACAAAATAATGCCCTGTGAAGCATACTACTTCAGTGGTGTCTGACAGGAAGGAGAAAAAAAAAAGGGCACACATGCACAGACACACAATCTGATTTGAGGACAGGGCTTTCTGGATGGCTGCTCTGGCAGATGAAGAGACAGCAGTGACATAAAGTCTGTCTCAGTCAAAGTGTCACTGTTTGTACTCAAGTGAATATGTTTACATGCATTTGTTTGAAAGTCTGAAAGTTTGGGCATGCATGTGTGTCCAATCAGAAGGTGCATATGCTCTCCTTTTTTTTCTAATATGCAGGACTTTTTATGTGTGTCTTTGTGTATCTCAAAGGGGCCTGGCATTGTTACTTTCCCTCTCACCCACACTCCTCATATCTCCCACTCAGTCCCTTCTGCAGATGACATGTGGGGCTTTCCTCCTCTATTCTGTTCTCGTGGTCCCTCAGTACTGAGTCTCTGGGCTGTCCAGAGCCATATGCCCCACCTACGCTGACCTAACTAACCTCACTGTCTGACTGTCTTTCTGTCTGTTTTCCTGCTCAACTTTGTAATCAGCTGTCTTGTCTGCCACAACTATCTCAAAGCCAAACCTTCCGTGTGCAATCTCTCTAGCTTGTACTGAACATCTTGATGAAGTAGAGCAACATTTTGATTACAGAGTTATTTCAGTGCAATAATGCAGACTCTGTATGGAAGCTCCATATGTCTCTTTTGTCTCAGCTGTCCATTTCCTGTCCCACGGCTTTCATGTCCCACACAAACAATCCCACTCTCCCTACCCTCCATATGCTATTCTCTGACCGTTTACCTCCTCGGCCCTCTCACCCCTTACGCTCCCAGTGTGTGTACTCCAACTCCCAACGCTGAACGAATGGGAAACACAACAAGATACACTGAGAGCATCTGAGCGACATATCAGCAGACAAGCTTCGTACTAATAGAAAAGCCAGCAGACACAAGGGCATTGGTTAAGCTTTGCATGGTGCTGAACTTATGAGAGCCCTCGTTGTGGCAAAGGGCAAGCTAACATTCTCAAAACTTGGAAAGTAAAACTAGTGAATGATTGTAACACACAGTCTAAACACAATGTATCTTGTCAGTCACCACTCATTTGTACTGTACTGAACATGTACAGTAGTATTTAGAATGTGGAAGGAGGAAAGCTGTTAAGTCTCAGTGTCCATGTGTAGAACAAATAAAACAGTGGTCATGTTTCTCTCTTACCCACAGGGGATGTCAATTCCAATTAGGGCATTATGTTCCTTAAGTATTTGGGTAGTTTGTCTCAATCTTTGTGGAGTTTCTTATGGTGTTTTTGGGATTCCCACTTCTTAAGTAGATGAGGATTTTCTGCCATGTTTTGTATATTATCTGACTGTATTTGCGATACTATTTATGGAGAGAAGCATGCCGGTCTGCAACTTGTGTAACACAAAACTTTGGAGTTAAGTTTGACATGATAAAGGCACATTTAGGAGAAGAGGCAGATCAGTTGGGTCATTGACACTGATCCACAATGTAAAGGTCTTTATTAAAACCACGTGTCTGAATACTTCGAATATTACATGTACATATATTTGTTGCATACTATTATTTATTTGTTTATGTTGATAAGAAAATGTGTGAGTGTTTCACATTATACATTAGAGGCCCCCTGTACTAACCCCCCTCAAACACACAAAAGAATCCCACGCACCCTCCTCCCCCTTTGCCCTGCATGTCAGATGTACGGATATGATGCTTACTGGCTGCCCACTGGCCCCATAGAGGCCAGCTGAGAATACCGATTGGCTGGATGCTGACTGTGTAGTCATGGAAACTGACTTGAGCCCTGTGTGTGACCTCACGAAGGCCACATAAAAGCTGGGTTACAGGGAGAGGCAGAGAGGGGAAAACAGTTCATATATAAAATGAAAGAGACAGTAGGACTGACACTGTCACTCAACGCAGTTCCATGCAGGTTTGTTTTCCATGGCTTAAAAGCAGAGTCCCGTGAGCGGGTACATATTTAAATACAGTCTACTGCCTGTGTGTGTGTGTGTGTGTGTGTGTGTGTGTGTGTGTGTGTGTGTGTGTGTGTGTGTGTGTGTGTGTGTGTGTGTGTGTGTGTGCGTGCGTGCGTGCGTGCGTGCGTGCGTGCGTGCGTGCGTGCGTGCGTGCGTGCGTGCGTGTGTGAAAATAGCAGCCAACCTACAAGCGTCCCAGGAGAGGTGGCTCTGCTGAGGAGTGGCCCATCAGAGACACGACGACCCAAGTGAAGAGCAACAGAGATTTAGCTGGATTTCACACTCCAGGTTGAAATAACATGGTGACACACACACACACACACACACACACACACACACACACACACACACACACACACACACACACACACACACACACTCAAACCCACACGCAGAGATAAAACACCACTACAGAGATGTTAGTGTTCAGAGGAGAAAAGAGGACAAATGAAGTGTGGAGCAGACATTATCAGAGAGATTGAAGGCGAGTAGAGAGTATAATCAATGATTATAAGAGGAGACAGAAAGGAAAAAACTGAGATGGGAACTCTTACAGATCAGAAGAAGAACATGAGCAATAAGAAGAGAAAAACTGAGCAGTAAAGTAGGTAGAACTAGAGTAACTGAATAAACTGAATGCAGTGTTTGTTCTTGTAATATATTTTGTGTTCAATGTGGAGAGCAGAAAGATGGCTTCCTTCAGGGACTCTTATCAACACTAGAGATACTTTTTTTGAGAGGCTGTGTAAAACCGTTTTACTGCAGATTTGGAAATAACACTGGTACATGTTGCAAATTGTTTTTCTGTGTTCATCAACTCATATGACTGTAAAAGCTATAATAGCCTAATATGCCAACAAATATCATAACACTTTTTTAAAACGTTTTGTGTCCGAGGCATTTATTGTTTTACTTAATAATAACAAAACTCTATATTAGAACCTAAGGCACATCCAGCACGGACACTGTGACAGTGGAGACAGCTAATGACGCAGAGCTGGGACAAAGACAGCTCATTACCTGTGTGAAATACAAACTGTGGGTAAACATCCAGATCAGTGGATCTGCTCTTGGCAAGCCTGGGCTGCCTTTTTGGCCACGTCCAGCCGCAAAAACCACCACCCTCCTCCCCCTGTCCAAACCCAACACCTCCCTCTTAAACTAGCCATTAGATAAACACTCGCACACACGCACGCACACACGGACACACACTCACCGTTCCATTTATTACTCTTTAAAAAGGTCACTGTTTCCTCTGGCTAAGCGCCCTGCGCTATTGATAATTTTATGCATAAACAAATGGCAAATTTGTGCCACATAAATATGTATTAGCAATTAATAATGGTGGTGTGTGTGTGTGTGAGGGGACGCCAGGTGCATGCTGAGTAGGGCTGGTTGGCGGCTGGTGGAGCCTCAGAGCTGGACTGGTGGCTTTATGTTTGCTGCTGGTCTCCCTCTCCTCCACTGTCTCTGCACAATGGCCACTTAGGCACACACCAGCAAAATTACAAACGCAAAAAAGTGAGACAGGAACCAACAAACACACGCGCGCAGTGCACACACCCAAACACTCTATACTGAAAATTGTTATAATGAAAACAATACAGTGACAACAGTATTGCTTACACCATAGACATTTACACTAGACCACACCTAGGTAGGTTTAAACTGACTACAGCACATTTGCATGAAGATGTACATGTGAGCACGTGGACAGACACAAAACACTCTCTAGTTGTCTAGGTGCTTGAAGGTTTAATGTGGGGAAGCACAAGCAGAACTCTGCTGTGTGCAGCGCAGGGAATTTTACATTTTTTATTGTTTCACCTGATACATAGTATTTTTATCGAGCAGCTTACTTTACCCAGTTTTTTGTTATTTTGTGAACCTTTGTCAGTTTTTGGGCATTTTTAAAGGTTCTTATTTGAGATATTGACCTTTGGTGAAACTCCGGAGTTTTTTTTCTATGAGTGAATACATGATTCATTTATCTCGGCAGCCGCATAAAGTTACACTTTGCATAGGGGGTTTACACAAACAGGTGACGTTCACACAGTTATTCAGCAATGCCTAGCAAAGGCAGCAAAAGCAATGAAGAAGATTATTATCTAGTTCAAATGGATGTAACCCATGAGGGATTTAAAATACTTTAAAGATATTTCTTATTTTATGGGTAAGAAAATGTACTCCACAAGTAAGACCACAAATATTTAACATGTACCAGTCACACAGAGATGATCAGGTCAGAGAAATCTCTTGCTCAGTCAGAAGTGTTTGTATTCCAGTAACTATTGTATTGAGTAGCAAATTATAAAAATAGTGTGTAAACCTGATGAATCGTTTGACCTCTGTTGCTTTGTAGACAGCAAAAGCAGCAAGGGATATCTAAAAAATATTGTGCAGGAGTTGCAGCGGCTGTGTGTGTGTGTGTGTGTCCAACTGCGTATGTGTGTGTGTTATGTTGTCCGTCTGCCGTGGTGAGAGCAGGCTGGCTCCCCTGTAGAGCACTATCACTCTGCTTGGCTAAACACAATCACACAACCTCAAGTCGACTCAAGAGCCCACTGAGAGACGGAGGGACTGAGAGAGCAGGAAGCCCACATGCATATATACATGTATGTATGTGTGTGTGTGTGTGTAGGTGTGTCGTTCTGTGCGAGGTGTGCGTCTCACCAGCTGTAAAAGTGCGAAGGACCGCACGGCGATGTCAGTGACTCTGGAGCAGTGTGTGTTACTGAGAGAGAGACACACACTCTGCAACACACACTTCAGCACCGCGCTGCACTGCATGAGGAGGTACACACACACACACCATGACACTGTGACATCACTATGAAACACTCGCGCTCCTACATTTTAATCGTTTTTTTCCTTCATAATTTTCTTATCTTTATCCCCATTCTAATAATTTTTCTTACCCTTTGATTTCCTTTATCTTTTTGAATTTTCTGTTTAACTTTATTTTTCCATCTTATTTTCCTCAATTACTTCCCCATTTTTCCTCCTCTTCCTCCTCCTCTTCTTCCTCCTTGTCCTGCCCCTGCTGCTCCCCCAGGTCCAGGGTGTTTTGGGGGGAGACTCTGGGCTGTTTCCCCCCCTCAGACCCCGGCTCTCAGGCCTGTATGGCCCCTAAACCTCCCAGAAGGCACCTGTACCCAGTGGCCTTCCTGCTGGTTTCCTCTCACCTGCTGGTCGTCTGGCTCATCTTCAGCCTCGTGCTCATGCTCAACAAATACCAGTAGACCCCCCCCC